AAACTTGGCACTGAAGGTAGATGAAGAGAAAGATTGTGAAGTAAATGAGTAAGCGAGTGAGAGAGATCAGTGGAGATACAGTATAACGATATTAAATGAAATGTAAATGAGAGAAAAATAGCAGGAGAAATAGAAACAAAACAGAGAAAGAGAGTTCAGTAGATAAGAGAGACAGATGGTTAAAAAAAATAGAAGAAGAAAACGAGAGACATTTTGCCAACAGTGAGAGTGAGTAGTTATAAACGAGTGTAAAGTTTTGATGAAGGACAAACTAATGTCAGGGACTGGGGCGGTTCGGGCTTCCTTCTCCCCGGCTACCACATGTGATCCCGCCTGTCACTCACACTCCATCGCCATGACAATCATCGTAATGCCGACGCCTGGGGGCGGGGACAAGCCTGTCCTTGTAACAAACAAAACCCCTCTGCGATCTGACGCCGAGAAGATCTCGCTCTCTCAGAGACACACACACAACGGACACAGTGATGCCACACAAATAGAAACTCTGCCACACAAACAATAAGGAAGCAAATTCCAGTTTGAATTTGAAATGAAAGCTCCATTTTCCAGAAACATAGACGTGAAAGTGATGTTTTACCATCACTGACCAGAGCACACTGCATGTTTTGTTAACCACACTCACTGTGTAATATGCACCATGTCATTGTCTGCACATCTGGATAGGTGTTTGTGTGCTTATGAATTTATTCATTTTAACAATACATGTGAGTTTGAGATCTGTGTGTTCATATATCACATGTGTGGAAGTGAGACAGAGATAGACACAGGGATAACGTGTGTGCATGTGTGTGTGTGTGTGTGTGTGTGTGTGTGTGTGTGTGTGTGTGTGTGTGTGTGTTTGCCACAGGGTAGGGAGCAGGGACTTGTCAGGCCGAGGAAGAGATGGCACAGTGGACGGTGATGCCAGCCCACTGTGACAGCTCCTTCACACACATATGCACACACTCCTACACACACATATACACATTTTGTAGCCCCCCAAACCTGCCCTGGCCCACACTCTTGAGCTGTGAAAGCTGGGACACAGAAAGAAAACGAGACTGGTGGAACCTCCCTTTAACTCGAGGCCGATTAGTGTGTGTGTGTGTGTGTGTGTGTGTGTATGTGTGAGAGTGTGTAAAGAAGGTGGTGGGCTGGGGGGTAAGAAGGTGGGTGGGGTGGGGGAGGGGGGCTTCAAAGTGTCACATCATTTTGTGATTGTGTGTTTCTGAAAGAGGCTAACCCCACTGCCACTTAAGCTTAGTACAAAAGTGAACACCACAGTGACAGACAAGACACATATAGTACACACTCATACACACACAAATATATTCTTACAGAGAACTGTAAACTGTTGTAAAATGTAAAAAAGCTACGTCTATGTTGCTGCAAAACAAATTTATTTTGAAAAGATGTCTTATTAAGTCAGCACCAGGCTGACAACACATACTGAAACTAATGATGTCAGTGGCTTAGGAGACGTAACAATATGCAAATGTTGCTAAAGAAACCTTTATGCAACATGAACTCATTCCAACGTCACCACACACCTGAACACACACACATAGCTGAGATAAATGTCATTCTCTACAAATCTGTCATTTGTATATTAGTGGGATGCTCCATTGTGCCTCTGAGCCCGCAGCACACGACGCCAACTGAAGTGAAGTTGCTGGTTAGAAACCCCCAGGGGTGACCTGGCCAGGGCCCCAGACCACTTTAACCACTCGTCTCCATTAACAGGCTCCCAGATATCATTATGCTCCCTGGGGACCAGGCGTGCTCTAACCAACCATTTACCCTCTCTCCTCTATTTCTCTCTCTTATCTCTCCCTCTCTCTGCCATGATGTTGCTCAATGAAAAAAGACAGCGCGGAGAAAAAATATGAGATTGATTTATTTGCTTCAGTGTTCTTTGGGATGGAGTCCTCTCCCTCTCTCTCTCTCTCTCTTTCACTGCAAACTGAAACCAATTAGCGAGCAGAGCACTTGTAGCGGGGAATGTAGGGCAAGCGAGGAGTAATAAAAAAGTATTGACTTTTCTGTGACTGTATGCGGCGTGAAAGGGGTGCCGCGGCCTTGTCCGACATGAAAGGAGCTCCATTAATTTCACTTATTTCACCCAGGCCCCTGTCAGGAGGCCCTAATGCGTCCCAGGCGCACTTCTCACATGCAGGCACTCAGACAGCACAACGCAGCTCCAGCCTGGTTACCAAATTAGTTTACATTATATATCAGAGCGAGTGAGAGAGAGAGGGAAGCACCAGAGAAAAGAGTAATTTCTAATTCCCTGGTTGAGACACAAAGCGAGGCCTTTCATACGTAGCTAATTTCGCCCCAGCTTCACCTCTTCCCGTCTCACTTTTCCTTCTCTTGTTTTGCGTCATGTAAAGGCCACAGTTCACAGAAAATGTCCTACAGTGCAGGTGCACAATAAATCAGCTGGAGAATAAGATAATGAGATGATTTGGATTCAGTTTCACAGAGATCAGTCAGTACACACACACACACAAAATTGAATCAACAAAGACAACTAAATACTTAACATAAAACATTCTTCTTTTTAGAAAGAACCTTATCTTAAATTCAAGTTTAAAGTAAGGAGTTAAGAAGTGTTCTTCCCAATAAAATAAGATCACAATCGTTTTACCATTCAATTATGATGTGGGTGCCATCATTGTTCTCTGTTTGAAATGCACTTTAGAAAATGTCCAGACTAAACCAGCCTATCAACATTTTAAGTCAATAAATAACATAACAATATTTACTCAGAACTACAAAAAATTATAGTGTTTAGTTGTTGCTGCTGTTGTCATATTATTTCAACTGATCAAACGCATCAGTGTTTGGTGTCACATTGCGTGGTTGTCATTTGTGCAATTCAGGACTCAAATGCACCACTTACGTACATTTTTTGGAAAAGTGCTCAGGTCCTGGGGTTTTATGACAATTCTTTAAGTAAAACCAGTTAGCAATGTGAGGCTCTTGTTGGGTTGGCCAACTCCTGCCAGGTAAATTCGATGTTGGCTCCCTAGGAATTTACCAGTATTGTGTATGTGTTTGTCAGTGCATGTGTGTGTGCATGTGTATGTGTGCCAGAGATAGATGCACCCCATGAGTGTATTTGTGTGTGTGTGTGTGTGTGTGTGTGTGTGTGTGTGTGTGTGTGAGCGAGGAATGAGAGGCTATCTGCAGACAGAAACTAATCAGTGTGTGTGAGATAAGAAAGCAGCCTTTATGGTGTATGGTAATCAGCCCCCCTCGGCCTGCCACCGCCATGCATAATCACCACGACTTATTCACATGATTGATGAAATATGCGTCTCTGAAATCCGAGCTGCTTTTGTTATCATCCTGTTTTTCCCATCTCCCCCCTCTCTTTCCTTTTCTCTCAATCTTTTTCTGTCTTGTTCAACCTCTCTGTCTCTCTATATATCTCCCCCCTGCTCTGCACTGGCCAAAGATGTTTGGAGCCATGTACAAACAAGAAATTACACACACAGCTTGGGGTCCCTCTTACATGCACACCAACTCCTACACTCAGCTCTCTCTCATAAGGTAGTCATACGATGCACGAGAGATGCTTGAGAAAAGCGACATTGTTTGAAGAGGAATATGAAGGGAAAGGGAGACAAAACATAAGGGTAAGAGAGCGAGTAAATGAGAATGCACATTAATTGTTCTGTCCTGCCGAGAGAAGTGCTGGTTGGATTAGAAGGGGATAAGAGGAAAGAGAGAATGAGATGGAGTGATAGATGGAATTAGACAGAGAGATGCTTCAGAGAGCTCC